AAAACAAGCTGGGCTCGGTGGCTCAGCCTGTAATCCCGCGCCTTTGGGAGGCTGAGGTGAGTGGATTGCCTGAGCCCGCGGGTTCGAGACCTGCCTGGGCAGCGAGACCTCATCTCTACAATAAATCAAAAAATCAGCCGGGCGTGGTAGCGCGTGCCTGTAATTCCGGCTACTCGGAAGACTGAGGCGGAAGGATCGCTGGAACCCAGCAGGCGAGGCTGCGGTGGCCGGGAGTGGCCACTGCACTCCAGTCAGGGCGATCAAGTGAGACTCCAACTCAAAAAAACCCCAAAAAAACAACAAACATAAAACAGGCTGCAGTAAGAAACTTCAAAGCATTTGGGAGATGATTCTGGTTGTGTACAATTGCATATGTGTATATATGCATAAAGAATAAGATTTTTTAAATGGAATACTGGAGGTTTACAATAATTTTAATATTTTTAAAATACTAAATATTATTTTAAGATAAGAAAGGAAAAGAAACAGAGGTCTTTGGTTTTATCTGCTGACTTGTAGGGAAGCTCATCATGATATGCCAAGAGTAAAACCAGGCTGCCAAGCTGTGTCTTTATCAGCAATTCTCAAACTTTAGAGTGTGCCAAAATCTCTGAAGGTCTTGTTAAAACAGACTCCAGGGCCCCACCCCCAGAGTTTCTGATTAAATTTGCATATTTAACAACCAGGTGATGACAACACTGCTGGTCCAGGGACCACCCTCTGAGAAACATTGATCTATGTCATGAGTCTTTATTTTTTGAAAGCAAACAAAAGTTCTATAAATGAGGATATATGCTTGTATATTTGTATGAACAAAGAAAAGTATAGGAAAAACACATACCGAGCTATTCATATTAGTTAATTCATAGAATTGGGAATAGATGTGGCCTAGGAGTTGGGGGTGGACTAGGATTAGTGGGTATCAGTGATGATGATTGATTATGCCTTTCTATTTATATTTGAGTATATTGTTTCACTGTACAAAGATGTTATCATTTTTGTAACTTGAAAATCGTCAATAAAGAAAATCTGGTGGATGGATGGATGGATGAATAGTGTGTCCAGATGAATGGAAGAAAGACTGGATGAACGGAGGGAGGAGTAGATGAATATGGGAAAGGGAGGGAGGACAGGTAAAGCTCTGTGAAAAGGGCCACCCAGGCAGCCGATTCACACTCGCTTCTTCAGCTCTGTACCCACCTCCTTTAGCTGGACGCTGTCCTTGGTGGTCTGGAAGCTGTGGCTGAGTTCATCCACTTCTTTTTCAAAGAGTGTACGCACTTCACCGAATCCCGAGCTCACTGGTCCCATGAGCTCCTCCAGGATGGACGCCAGGAATGGTTGCACATCCTCCAAACAGCTTTTCTCCGCTGGCTGGGCCACCATCGCTGAGGTAGGAAATAGCCAAAAACTGTGACTTAGGATTCACAGGCACTGGAGCCAGGTCAGGGCTGAACAGTGCCCCATGGAGACATTTAACAGCCACGGCAAGCACAAACGGGCAAAACAGACCAGCACAATGAGCCCTGGGCCCACATTCATCAGAAAAGAAAACCACTGGATGCATGGAGAACGGGAGCAAACAGAATCTTGTCCCAGGCTTTCCTATGCCCTGGGGTAAAATATCTTTTTCTGCTTGATCCCTCTGAACATGCAATACCTAAATCAAAGAAGAAAAGGCTGGAGAACCACCTATCTACTACAAATCACCACCCTGACATACGCACAGTTTGTCTTCTAAAACCATGATTTATTAAGTTTTTATTCATTTCTCTAAGGGTTAATCAGTCGATATAATTCCATCCTCCTCTTTCCACAAAAAGACTTAAAAAAAAATCAAGTACATTCTTTTCTTGGGAAAAATGGAACCAAATGTCATTGTTTGGCGTCCCATCTTCCATCCCAGCCCCAATTAAAACAATACAAAACAAAACCACAATTTTTTCCTGATAAAAATGACATGAATAGTGACAAAAGTGTAGAATACAGAAAATCGAAAAGGGGATGAAAAAATGTCACAATTCTACTGTCCAGAAGCAAATATTGCCCTTTGATTCAGATGAGGAAGAAAGAAATTAAGTTAACTAAGAAATTAACTCTGAAGTTAATTTCTGGCTTTGGAAGGTCTGGCGTAAATAGACACACAGAGGTACACAGGCACATACACCCCTGCTGCAGTTCTGCCTCCCTAACCCCTCTTAGCATAGTCAAGATCCTACATTCATCAGTCTGGATAGGACATGGAAATCTGCATTTTTTTTTCAGTGCAGAGGTGATTCTTGTGACCAGCCAAGTTTGGAGGCAGCAATGTGAAGGAGGCTTGAGCCGGAAGAGGTCTGAGCTGGCTCCGTGGACCAGGAGGCTAGCTTTATGGATCTAGGTAGGTCACATAGCCTTATCATAGAATCACAGAACTGAAAAGGGAATACAAACTGAGCTGGTGTCCAACTCCTCCATTTTACAGATGGGAAAAATGAGACTTGGAGATGTTAGATGACTTGACCAAGGTCACACCTAATATGCAGAAGCGGGACTACAATTCAAGCGTATTTCTTACATTCTTATTGGCAAATAACTTGCTTACAGTGAAATGAATGGCCAAAGTCTTATTTCAATTGTTAGAAATATTTTACAGAGTTATGGAGGGTCCCATAGTAGCTTCTTACTCTGAGAATCTGAGATGGCCAATACTAATAATATTACAGATAACTCAAAAATATTTGGGATAAAAAACATTACCAGGTCATAGAATCATTAGAGAGAAAATCCTTTCAACTGTATGATTCCAATATGAAACAATCGGACTGGACATGGTGGCTCAAGCGTATAGTTCCAGCACTTTGGGAGGCCAAGGTGGGAGCATTGCTTGAGCCCAGGCGTTCGAGACCAGCTTGGGCAACATAGCAAGACTTTGTCCCTACAAAGAATTATTTAAAAAGCCGGTTGTGGTGATGTACACCTGAAGTCCCAGTTACTCGGGAAGCTAAAGCAGGAGGATCACTTGAGCCCAGGAGGTCGAGGTTGAGGTGAGCCATGATTGTGCCACTGCACTTCAGCCTGGGTGACAGAGTGAAACCCAAATCAAACAAACAAAACTCAAATATGAAACAATCTGTGTGTCTCCTACAAATGACTTGCTTGATACCAAAAATTGTTAGCCAGGATAATCAATTAATTATTAGTTAATTAACTTTGAGACAGGAGTTATTTGAGAAGCATCCAATTGGAATTTCAGAACAATGCTGAATACTGGTAACATACAGTGGAGATGTGACGGCAGCTGGTGGGTTTCACCTGCTGGGTGAGGTCGAGACAGGCACGGGGGGAACGAACGTTCCACTCTGCTCTCTTTCTCTCTCTGTACCTGTTTACCATAGTGTGTGCCGGCCCCCTCTTTGCGCCTTTATTCAGGATTCCTTTTACATTGCCTTCCTTCCTCCACCTCTGCTTGTAAACATCCTACTCATCTCTTCAAAGCCCAGCTTCAGTTTTACCCATCAGAACAGCCTAACGTCCTGGAGCCCTACACAGCTTCCTGAACTGGAGTCTGCAGGTGCTTCCTTGTGGGCTGAATACACTCCACATCCCACCCACGAATGCTCTGCTTTTTTCAAGCATGTGGAGGTGCTGTTGTGTTTTATGGCTTGCGACATGTGAATTCATCAACCTTCCAGAAGCGAAGGCAGCTGTTGGAAGCAATTGAACAGAGAGATGAAATCTGAAAGGCTAGGGCCAGGGAGGCTAAGTTCAGAGCCCAACACTGCCACAACTAGCTTTGGAATCTTGGCAAGTGACTGAATCTCTGCCTCAGTTTTCTTATCTATAAAGTGGAGATCCTCAGGGCAATTACTTCTTGAGGGTCACAGTGAGGATTCAATGAGTTTACTGCATTTGAAAGTGCTTAGAATTCCAGCAGGACTCAGTAACCATTTGCCCTTATTGTACCTGTTGGCACTATCCTTTTTTTCCAATCACCAGACACTAAAGAGTGCTCTTGTTAAAAGGGGCCCACATCAAAAGACATGAATAAACACTTCTCAAAAGAAGACATATAAGCAGCCAACAGACACATGAAACAATGCTCAGCCTCACTAATCATCAGAGAAATGCAAATCAAAACCACACTGAGATACTACCTAACTCCACTAAGAAAGGCCATCATTAATAATTTTTTTAAAAACGAAAAAAAAAAAAAAGCCCCCCCAAACCATAACAAAACAAAACAGATGCTGGCAAGGATGCAGAGAAAAGGGAACACTACTGCACTGTTGGTGGGAGTGCAAAACTCTTTGAAAAACAGTATGGCAATTTTTAAGAGCACTAAACATTGCCCTTCCATACATCTCAACAATCCCCCTTCTGGGAATATACTGAGGAACTCAAATCATTCTACAAAAAAGATACTTGCACACACATGCTTATTGCAGCACTGTTCACAATAGCAAAGACATGGAACTGACCCCGATGCTCAGTAAAAGTGGATGGGATAAAGAAAATGTGGTACATATATATGATGGAGTATTACACAGCCATAAAGTAGGACAAAATTATGGACTTTCACAGCAACTTGGATGGATTTAGAGTCCATCACACTTAGTGACCTACCACAGAAACAAAGAACTGAGTACCACATGTTCTCACTTATAAGTGGGTCATGAACATTTATCACAATACTATAAGAGAGGGACTGGCAGTCGCAGGACACTGCCAGGAGAAGGGAGGGGCATAACCCTAAACCAGGGGAAGTGAGGACCAGTCAGGGACCCAAACTTCACCTGCTCATGAACAACTGCTTATGTGCCTGATTCTGACTTGTACCCTTCATCTTCACAATAAAAAATAAATAAATAAAAATAAAAGGGGCCCATGCAGCATTTTGAGGTTGAAATGGGATCTGTGTCTGGATTTTGAGGTTGAAATGGGATCTGTGTCACCGTGCCCTTTGTTCCTGATTCTCGTAGGACATTTGTCGTTTTCCCCTTTTCCCCTCTGTCTCTGCATCTGAGACATGCTTCGTGCCCTAGTATTCAGCAGAAGCAGAATAAATGCTTATTGAATGAATAAATAATTGTGGAGTAGAACTAAATAAAACTCAGAGGCTTTGCTCCCAAAAGTCATACAGGAGGAAATGAAGAGATCGGCACTTAATATGCCCCAGGTTTCTTCCAAATCCAAAGCCCTTTATCAGTGCAGCCTGAAGCTCATACTTCCTTGTTTTAAAGGTGAAGAACAGAGGCCTGCTTAAAATGTCATTTTGTTATTTCATTTTTAGAAGACTCGATCATGACTTCCTTTCAAGGCTTCTTTTAGGAAACAGATACTAGCTCAAGGCAGAATGTTTTTCCATCGTGTGAATACACCAGACCCACAGAGATTTCGGCAAGAGAGAACGGTTTCATTCAGGCCATGAAAATGGTCATGGTTAGGCCCAGCGTAGCCCCAGATAACAGAAATTTTGGCACAAGAGTGGGGTGTTAGCAACTGTAAGTTGTACAGAGGACTTAAATATATAAGGGGGACCCAAAAAACCCAGAATTTATTTACAAAAAATTATGTACTTATTCTTACATGTTTAAACTTCAGTTGCCTTCAAAGTAATCTTCGTTTGATGCGATACACCTATTGAGACACTTTTTCCACTGCTCAAAACAGTTTATAAATACTTCAATTTTGATGGCTTTTAGTGCTTCTGCCATTTTTTGTCTCACTTATTCCGCATAAGCAAAATGTTTCCCTTTGAGGACTTTTTTCATCCAGATAAACAAAAAACAGTTGCTCAGTATGAGATTGGGTGAATAGGGAGGGTGGGAAGGGGCTCATGCCGCTCGGGGTCAAAAACCGCCTAATGCTCGGCTCGATGTAGGCAGGTGCACTTATAAACCACTTACCATGAAACGGGCAAACGCAGTGAAAGACTCGCCCCCCAAATTCACTGAAGCAGAATGCAGCCTCTCACAACAATGCTAGCTGGTACACTGATGCCAATGGGTTCCCAGAGCATTCACCTGTACTACAAGGGGCCCATCTTCCAGAAATTAACTCCAGGCTTTTGGGGGTCCTTCCTTATACAGTCAACTCTAGATCAGTGGTGTTTATGGAGGAATGAGAGACATGGATAGTAGCAAGCCTGAAACACTCTGACATTAATTTATGTCTGGTTTTGGAAGGTATGGCATAATAGACACACAGAGATACGCAGACACACACACACCCTGGCTGTAGCTCTGACTCCCTAATCCCTCTTAGTAGGACTGTCTTAAGAGTACTGAGGCAAGCTGAGTTGCAGAATGAAGAGTGCCGGAATTGCAGAGGATAAACCACCAGGTAGAAAATCCCCTCAAAGACTCTAAGCCTCCTGAGTGCAGGAACTGGGCCTTCCTCATTAATTGCTAAAGCTCCATTGCCTTGCTTGGAAAGAATTTAGCAGATATTTTTAAATAAATGAATGAGTGTTTGAGTGAGTGAATAATCTGATAACTGACTATCTAAGAAGATTTTTTTATAAATAACCACATAACCCACGAGCTTTTCTTCTGAGGTAACATTAGGAATGGTACATTTGTCAGGTCATAGGATCCCCAAATCTAATGGAGAACTGTAGGGTTCCTTAGAGGCCATCTAAGGCCTCTTGTGTGGGAACTGACAAACTGATTCCTGTCAAGGGCTAGTTAGGAGATATTTGCACCTTTATGATCCATAAGGTCTCAGTTCCAACTACTCAATTCTGCTGTTGTAGCAAAAAGCAGTCATAGACAATATGAAAACAAACAAGCATGGCTATGTTCCAGTAAAACATTATTTACAGAAACAGGGGTGGGCCAGATTTAGTCCAAGGACAGAAGTTTGCCAACCCCTACTGGACCCTCCTGATTTCATAGAAGTCAAAGGGCCTCCCCAAGTACACACGCCTGATTAATGTTAGAGTTGGGGCCAGAAAACCAGATTTGTTGACTCTAAGTCAAAAGTTTAGGCTTTCCTGTCAAAGAAAAATTCATTTATTCATTGATTCACTGAGAGTCTATATATGCCAGGCATGGTACCAGGCAATGTATACACTTGAGTAAACTAAGGCAACATGGCTCTGATCCTTGAGAGCTTATAGCAGAGAGGAGGTGGCATAGAAGCCATTATAATTCAGTATAAGGAAGGCTACAAGGGTGTAGGGGTACTGTGAGTTTCAGAATACACAGGCATCCCCAGAAAGCAAGATTCAAAGTTACCTCTACCTTGTGTCCATGAAGGTTCCCTGGTAAGGGCCAGATCTTTTTTGTTTTTTGGGTTTTTTTTTGAGATGGGGTCTTACTCCGTCGCTGGAGTGTAGTGGCATAATCACGGCTCACCACAGCCTCGAACTCCTGGGCCCCTTCCATTTTAGCCTCCCAAGTAGCTGAGACTACAGACATGCACTACTATACCTCGCTGATTTTTTAAATTTTTATTTGTCAAGACGAGGACTCACTATGTTGCCCAGACTGGTCTCAAATTCCTGGGCTCCAGCAATTCTTCCACTTCAGCCTACCAAGGTGCTAGGATTATAGGCGTGAGCCACGCAGCACCCAGCCAGGCCCAGTCCCTTAACTACCAGTCCCTTAACTAGTAGTACAACTGTTACCACTTCCTCCCAATTTCCTCGGTTTCATTCTCCTCAGAACCCATGTATTCCTGCTATGTGGTGAATCCCTAAGTGTGCTGCTTATTTAATGAGTAGGAGCACTTCTGGAGTCTCTCCACTGACCTTTGATCTTTCCGATTAAGAAGTTCTTTGAGTTGACAATCTGATCCACGTCTGAACGGATTGTTCCTTCCAGGCCCTTTGTCAGAGTTCTGCATTCCTCCTTCAAGGCACTTAATCCTTCCGACACGTGTTGCCGAACCAGATTGTAGGCCTCCTCAAGGAGCTGCAACAGGAATAACAACACATAAATCAGGCTCTGTCCTGTGTAAGTACTGCTGGAGTCAAGTAGAGGGACCAGCTGTTTGTCACAGACCATTATCATGTAAACAGAACTACATGCCCATCCTAATTTTTCTTTCAAAGTTTGAGATTGTTTGGATTAGTCTTCATGTAAGTGAGATACAGCAGGCATGAGGTGGGAATTTCTCCAACCAGGGAAGAAATTATTAAAAACAGCAACAGCTGGACACGGTGACTCATGCCTATAATCTCAGCACTTTGGGAGGCCAGGGCAGGAGGACTGCTTGAGCCCAGGAGTTTGAGACCAGCCTGGGCAACATAGCAAGACCTCACTTCTACAAAAAAAAAGAAAAATTAACCTGGCATGGTAGTGAACACCTGTGATCCCAGCTACTTGGGCAACTGAGGCGGAAGGATGGCCTGAGTCCAGGAGGTCAAAGCTGCAGTGGGCCACTGCACTACAGCCTGACAGGTGACAGAGTGAAACTCTAACTCAAAATAAAAATAAAAACAACAACAAATGCCCTACATGAAAAGAAAAGGGAATGCCCATTTCAAGTAGCACGGGTGTAGACAGAAATCATGTCTTACCCCAAGCCAGGTCCTCTTTCTGTCGTTCTTCTTACCCTTCATCTTCGGCAGCAGGTCTGTCTGCAGGGTGGGCAGAAGCTCCTCCATCACCAGGTTACTCAGGACCTACGGAGCAAAGAGAGCCCCAGAGTGGGTCTGTCAGTGATGTCTCAATCTGATTGGCTGTCCCTGCCCTGGGCCAGATGAACTCTGTAGGTTCATAGTTCAACTTATTTCCAAGGCTGCAGAAAGCTCAACTAAAACAATCTTAGAGGCTAACCATCCTCAGGGAACAGTACCATCTGCTGACATTTCCTCCCTGCTGTTTTCCCAATGGAAAAAACAAACCCCCCAAATCCAAACTTCACAGATCCAAACTAGAAGAACCTAATGCGTTTAGGATAACGGGAAATTTCAATAATAGCTAAGGGCATCCTTAGTACACCTGTGAAGGGAGTGTCAGACTTGGTTTTGGTGGCCTGAGTCCTAGTCTGTATCTCCTGGGACTGTCACTCCTTCTCAAGCCCCTTCGCGATCTAAGTGTCTTCGTACTTTTTGGCCTTACTGTCCCCTGAGCCCCACCTTCATCCTCCTTAATGTTTAGAAAAAGAAGGGAGGAGCAGTGTGAAGAAGAGGCAAGAATGACACCTGGACGAACCAAAGCCCTCAGGGTGCCGCATCCCGGCCTCCAAGGCCTTTGTCCTGCTTCGGGTGCCACCATGCCCAGGAGAAAGGCTGGGGGGGGCGGTGCCAAAATAGGAAAAAAAAAAAAAAACCAAGGTGAAGGATAAACCACAGAGAAGATCTGCAAGGTTGTCTGCTAAATCTGCTCTTCCAATGACAAAGCCAAGCCTAAAACGGCCCCTGAAAAGAAGGGAAAGAAGGTACCCAAAAAGGAAAAGCTGACACCAGCAAGGATAGGATAATCTGCAGAATATGGGGACAAAACAGACCAAGCAAAGAAAGTAGAAGGTGCTGGAGATGCCAAGTGAGGTGTGTGAATTCTTGATCACTCTATACTTCTGGTGACTGAACAATTTGAAATGCTATTTTAAAATTGAGTTTTATAAAATGCAGAATTTTGTTTTGCTTTTTATCTTTATGTTTTAGCTGTGTTGTTTGCACACAGAAAAATGCATTGCTGTTTTATGGGGAAGGGACATATGTCACTAATGGAATCTCTCTGAAGCTGAACTGATGTCAAGGGAAACACCTTTCTTTCTAGTTTTGAGAAACCTCTTCTTGGCTCTTAAAAGGAGGAGGGATTCTCTGATGTTGACACACACAACCACTTGGGCACAAATGCCTTGTGGGGTAGAAAAACTAAAATTTGTTTTTATGTCCTCTTTTCCCGCTCTGCCTTCAGCATAGACTTAACACCCTTAAATTCAGACACCTGTTACGACCTGACACTCCCAAATTGGTTAGCAGTATGTCAGGCAATCTGGACTTTGCAGTGATGCCATTGAGATGGCGTCCTTCAAAAGAGCAGCTGTTCCTTATTTAGATTATGACTCTTCAGACTGGTAAATTCTGCCATTTCCATTTCATTTTCTGAAAATCAGGGTCAGCTCATGAAAAGTTGTGAAATGACATGCTAAATGTGAAACATTAACCCTCACTGTAATTAAGAGTCTAGTCGAACAAAGACTCCATTGCATTGTATATGGCTTTCTGATTTTGGTAGTTCACTGAGGACAGGAGTTTGGAAGTTGTTGTATACTGTTAACAACTGTCTGCCCATGTCCTGCCTAAACTACTGCTGTTGTTTATAAAAAGCATTTTCAATAAAGCTGGATACAGCCTGAAAAATGAAATAGAAGGGAATAACAAATACTGTAAAACAATCGGACAATTTTGGGCTAAGTAGACATGAAGGAGGTAGCTAAAGTTTTCAACTGTTTTTTAAAAATTTATTCTCAAACCTCTCCTAAAATTTTGCTTAGCTCAATTAAAATGTTTCTTGTGGATCTGAGCAGTATCCCACACATCTGCTCACCACAACATTCTGTGTGACCCTGGCCCTTCCTTCTCTACCCCACCCCTGCCTCGCTCAGCTTTGCTGCTCAGAATCACCTTTTTCCACGAGTCTGTTGGGGTCACAGCTCCACTTTCAATAGTAGACTGCAGACTAAGATTTACAAAAGGGCAGTTTCAGGAATAGAAGCAGGCAGAAAAGTCGAAAATCACTCGAGACATCTGTTCCATGAATTTGAAATAATATTTGCCCAAACGAATTGACGTATTCCTTCTCACTTCTCGTCAAAATTCAAATTATGTTTTGGGAATTATGGAAGGTTTCCTCTGAGGTCAGCCTCATGAGCTCACTAGAGATTGCCCTTCACCAGGGCTCCGTTTTGGCAGGATGTAGCTCGCCAGTTGAACTCATCAGGAACACTGCCTGGGTAGAGGTGGATGAGCCGCCCAGTCCCACTCAGACTGTGGGTTTCTGGAAAGGAAGATGGCTCAGGCCAAGGCAGCATGGGGGGCTCTGTCATCAGCAATGTGGATCTGCCTGGTGTGACAAAGGTTCTCATGGGGACAGGATTTCCACCAATCCTGGTAATTCATTTGTGGGGCTGTGTGGACCTTTCTTCACTGTTCTCTGGGGGCAGTCAAGAGATGAATCACCATTTCCAGAGGTGTTTAAGAGGAACTTGGCATGTGCAAAACTTCATGGAAATTAGTGGTTCCAATAGTTAGATTCAGTGGGTATTAGGATCCACAAACCCCAGCCTCTGGGTTCCTGGTTGATACACATCCCCCCAAAGTGTAGCCCAGGGAGGATGCAACAAGAGGGAGGGAGATCCACATGAGAACTTAAGCCAGTGGGTTAAACGTATTAAACGCAAGAGGCACAACTGTCCTCATCTTTTTGCAAAGATTGGTTTGAATTTGAGCATAAGTGTGAAAAGGGTTTGAGGAAGATGGAAATGTTATATCCAAAGGCCAAATAAAAGAACATTCCATCTGGGTGGGCTTACAGTTTTCTTATAGTCGTTCCCATGCAGTGTTCCAAGAAATTTGCTTCTATTTTACAACTTAGGAAATTGAGAAGGAGATACATGTGTGGGGGAAAAAAAGAGGGGGTGGCGTGGGTTGCAAGGCTGGGGAGTGGGGGTGGAGCTTGGGGATTAGCCACAGGGCGGGCCGAACCCCTGGCTGTTGAAGCCCAACCGTGTCACATCCCATCACTGTCATCCTGGTCCGCTAACCTTCAGGCCCAACCCTCCGCGCCCTGACGCTGTGCTGCCCCTCACCTGCCCCAGGCCCACTCTGGGATCCAGCTCTCCACAAGCAGGGCCCTAAGCCACTGGGTTCTTCAGGGAAAGTAGTTAATCTAATAAATGAATGGGTAAGGAAGGGGTTCCCTAGCCTCCTCCCCTCAGAACAGGATCCACTGTTTTATCATAAGGCCTAAAAATATCACTTTTGTTTAAAAAAGAGAGAGGGAAAGATGTTAGGTAAATTTAACTGCTGGGATGTTTTAAATTCTGTAAGACCTCATAAGAAACCAACCATGTTATTAGGCTGATCGAAGCCAACGAGCCCAGGCTCACCTCTGAAGACCACACCACAGTGTTTTCTTTCAGATACTGAGCTGTGAGGAAGGTGTGAGGTCTAAAGATTTCTCTTGTCCCTGAGGCAAGCTCCACACCACCACCAGGCTGCTGGCCACATGTCCTTTGTGTTACTGAGCGGCCATGGGTAAAAAAATCCATTTAAAGGGGTCACACTCAAGATCTTCCAGCAAAAGATAACTCTGGAACATATGAACAAAGCCTAAAAAATGTAGACTTTTTTTTTTGGACTTGAAAAAAAAACTGTTCTGTGGGAATTATGAGCTATTCTGTAGTCCAACTGGGTATTTTAAAGGCAAATAATAAACATACCAAATAACTGTAGCTGCTTTACAGTTTGCAAAGCAGTTTCCCTCATGATCACATTTGACACATTTATATTGACAAGTAGAAAACATGTTGATGTTTTTAGTATACAAATATTTTCATCTTAACAGTCTGTCAGGCAAGTTATTCAGAGATATTTGCTTTGCCTGGACACTTGCCTAAAATAACCATTGCCATGAGGGCCTTCCATAATCGCCATGTGAGTCATTACTATTAAGATAATAATGTAACAAGGCTGAAAATCTTCTGGATACAGGCCCCTAGGGTAGAGGAAGTTAGGACAGTGTTATGATTGAGTTATTAGCAGACAGGATGGAAAAAATGCAAATAAACCCAGTGCTTTAAACAAAAAATGTAATTTTCTCAAACTCAGTTATGTATGCCATTTTATTTAACTACTTGGTAGCTTCTTTGGGCATCTGGCCTCTTTTTTCTATGAGTCTTAGGGGAGACACTGCTTTTCTGTCAAACTCCACGTATTAGAGGTTATGGCGAACCTTCATCCTATGTGGCCCCACACAGGAAAGCTTTGGAGGCCGTTTCCTTGTAACAGCTTAGACAACCTGGTTCAAAATACGTTTCTGTCACAGACTGGCTTTGGGACTTCAGTCAACCTCTCTGAATGTTTTTTCTCTCACCTGGAGGGTGCTGGACAAATTCTGAAATGCCCGGCCAGCATTCACATTTTGTAAGTCTGTAATGTCACCAAATACATTCAAATTCTTGGGGGAGAAAAGTTTCTTATTGGGTCACTTGATAATTCCAGCAATTGTTGAGCTCTTTTTTGTTTTCTTGTTGTGTTTTCCCACTTAACAATATTTTTTTAATACTGCAAAATTAGGATCTTACTATGACTGCTTCGCACAAATGCTTGTGTGTGTGTGCGTGTGTGTGTGTGTGTGTGTGTGTGTGTAATTCCCACACATATGCTGCCTTGTCCTCTGGATGCTTTCTATGTACGTCCCGCCTCACCATGGCAGCAAGGGATGAGCCATTTAGTTCTCTTGCACCACATAGCACTTATCACACATAACAGCCTAAAGCAAAAAAGTGGGAAGTCAACAAAAGAACCTGCAACAAACTCAGTACTCATCACCCAGAAAGAACGTATTAAAAGTACCTGTTTTCAATAGCACTAGGAAGGACTGTGAGCTGACATAAGATTCCAAGTGAAAGAAAAAAATGAAGTAGGTGGCATAGCTGAACTCAAGGAGTGAAATGAATGTGTGACTCCATATATTCCCATGGCTGGTGTTGATCTTTCACTGGGCCAGGAGAAAGAGCCATTGTTTCCTTGGCCGTCTGTCCCAGTTGCACATGACCCTGAAATTATCAGGTCCAGAGGGCCAGGACCAATCTATATTGTCTATCTCTGGATCACTAGCCCCAGCACAGTGCCTAGCAGAGAGTTGATGTTCAATAATTTGTTGTTGAATGCATAAAACGGAGCAAGTCACTTAACTGTTATGTGCCTCCCTCAATTTTCTCATTTACAAATTAGAAATAACAGTAACTGCCTTATCCACTTTAGAAGATAGGAAAGACAGATAGAATTAGGTTTTGAACATTATCAAGTATCAATCACACAAAGGCATTTTACTACTGGTCTAGCTACTAAATCTGTAGGCTTACATGGTGGGCCAGGTGGTGTCCGATGCTTCAGCCACCCCTTCTTATACTTTTGTTTTTCTTTTTGGCATTAGTATAGTAAGTATTTAGTCCTCTCAGATCTGTAAATGGATGTGTTTCCCCAAAACAGAAGAAACTAAGCATTGGTTGAAGTTCTGGAATAAGTAAGTCTCACGCTGAGAAATAAATGAGTTTAGAATCTACCAAAAAATAAGGGGACGAGATTCTGATAATAAACATATGTCTTCATGTGTTAAAACAATAAAGAATAGTTCCATCCTCAAGAGAAAATGTTTTCAGCATTAGATGTTTAATGACCATACAGAGTCAAGCCACCATCTGGCATCTTCTAAATATTGTTCCCTAACTACAAATTTTACCAGACTCCAAAAGAGGCACCTTAGGAGATGTGATAAAAATAAAGAAAAATTAAAAGATAGCATTCTTAGGTATTGCGTTTCTGTAATCAAATAATACCCATAGCCAGCCCCCTCCTCTTTTTTGGCTGAATCAGCCTTGTGATTGGCATCATCATACAGGCTGGGGTCATATCATGAAACACAGTTTCTTTTGGACATTTATAACAGTGTACTGGGACCAAGCCCACTGAGATGCTCTAGCCATTTAGGATTGTGGGAAATAAAAATGTGCCACCGAAGATAGAAAACTAGAAAAGGTAAATGAAACCTCTAGAAAACTGTCTAATACTTTTCAAATTTGTTTCTATTCATTGCTTCATTTACATATCATTCAATAAAGACAGTTAGTTGTGTGCCAAACACTTTTCCAACTGCATCTCATTGAATTTTCACAGCCCTGCAAGGTAAACATTATCATTTCTATTTTATTCAGAGGAGTAATCTGAGACTAAATGAGGTTAAATAAGTTGAATTATTTCAGATTTAAGTCCAAGTCCACTGCTGTTGCAATGCTTTTAATGCCCTGCCACACACTTTGCACTATATCCTGATACTCACTCACATTTGCTTCTTGTCTAGAAGCATAAGGTCAATGAAAAGAATTCTTCTTTTTTTTTTTTTTTTAAGTCAGGTTCTTACTCTGTTACCCAGGCTGGAGTGCAGTGGCACTCTCAGAGCTCATTACAGCCTCAAACTCCTGGGCTCAGGCAATTCCTTCCACTTTAGCTTCCTGAGTAGCTGGGGCTATAGGCATATGCCACTATATCTGGCTAAATTTTTTTATTTTTTGTAGAGACAAGGTCTTGCTATATTGCCCAGGCTAGTCTCAAACTCCTGGCCTCAAGTGATCTTCCCGCCTTGGTCTCTCGACATGCTGGGATTGCAGGTGTGAGTCACCATGCCCAGCCAAGAATCATTCTTTTTATAGAAAACAGTGGGAGCAACTCTTTCCACTGCTGTTGCAATGCTTTTAACTGCCCTATCTCATGCCCAGACTGGTTATCTTTGTAAGGGGTACCTGATAGCCTGCAGATCGATGCTTCTATACAATGAGAGAAATAGCCTTTGGACCCCCATCTTCCATTCCTGCAAGTTTTTTTTTTATCCTTTATTAAAATGATCCTGACTTCCTACCACCCAAGTAGAGAGAGGATCCAAAATTCTGAACCCTGTGTTACCTGGATTTCATCCCCGGTGATCATTTCCCAGGAGCCATAGTGACCCTTCTCCTGTCGGAAGAATTGTACAGCTTCTAAAAAGGCTTGGGCTTCAAATGTCGTCTGCTTCATGTAATCTATAGAGAGGAAGAAGGGACATTTAGCAAAGTAAAACATTCTATGTTTCCCCTGGTTCTTCAAGTGTAATGGTTCAGAGAGCTAGCATTCCCTGAGTATGACAAGGCATGAAATTATGAGACACAGAAAAAGCAAAGCAAGCACTAAATTACTGAATTCAAAGTTCATTTACAGGTGTGCATCGCATGATTTGTTCCCCACCCTAGCTGATTAATCTATCAGTTACTGGGCGTACTGGTTGAGACCAGAAGCACATCTCTCTCTCTCTCTGTCCCTCTCCTCACCTCTTGTCGATTCTTCTCTAGCCACCTCCAGGCACCTGGTGACTTGACCTGTAACACCTCACTGTTGCAGGCCTTCTCTTAGAGTGCTTCCTGTGTTTATAGTATCCCCTCCTAGTTTCCCAAATGAAATTCCAGTTTCTCTGTGACTTGATAGCAGCTTTCTATCAAAAGGCCCTAGGTATAATATGCTAATTTATGTAAATGAAAGATAATAATGATGAACACTTAAACAGTAGGACGCTGTTCATCTAAGCACTTTACATATTTCATTGGCACCTCACAAAAACCTCTGAGGAGAGTATTTTTATCATTCCCATTTTAAAGATGAGGAGACTTCAGTCTCCTCGGAAAGGTGAATCAATCGCCTAAGGTCATATAAGTCATTGAAAGGCAGAGCCCGGGTGTAGACTCAGGCAGTCTGACTTCAGAGCCTTCCTCTAACCATGACACTATACAGATTAGCCTTATGGGTATGCTCTTTCAAACATACTGGGTTTGAAAAGATATCATCTCTGAGAGGTAATATCCTAACACAAGGAATGAATATCTAATGGTGGGATAAATCACGCCATGCATGCAGTAGCTTAATTTCTAACACACAAACTTAGCTTTTGGAGGACACAGGGATAACAGAATTACAGAAATCTCAGTGGGGAAATGAACTTTAGAAGTCACCTAATGGAACAACAAAGAAATCAAGTCGTAGAAAGGAGAATTAAAGTGGGCAAAGTGAATTGAGTAAAAGGCCCAAGTTCCTGCCTCTCCCTCTGTAGAGCACAAAGCCCTCTTGCCAATAGCAGACAATCTGCACTTACAGGAAGTCCTCAACATATGAACAAGTTCCATTCAGAGAGCATGTTTGCAAGTCCAATTGGTTTTAAGTCCAATAAAGCTAGCCTAGGTACCCAATTAATACAATTGGCTATATAATGCATATGTTTTTTAACAGGCTATACTGACACTTGGTGAAGAGAAATAATACATTAAAAAGCACACAAGTGTATCATTACAGTTTGTAACTTGAAGGTTCGTATGTAGAGGACTTATTGTATAGGGCACTATTAGATGGTCAATTGAAGGCAATTGATTTGGGGTGAGGGTGAACCATCACAGCTTTAGACAGTGAGCTTAATAAGTCAAGAACAAAATGGTTGACCTGGGAGATTGAGCAGAAATTTTAAAAATCAATTTTTTCTGAAAGGTGACAATCAATTGATCCACAAGTTGTAGATAACTCTTTTGAGACTGGCTTACTGGGTCAAAAGTCTTAGAAACTTAGAAAACAGAAAATACAATTCAAGGCCTCTTACAAGAGTTTAAGCAAAATTCTCCAAAGTGAGGACACCATATAGCCCAGAGACTCCACTTTCAAAAAAATGTGGAACAGTAACTGACATTTCTAATATCGGCATAGAGATTTGGTCAAAATCTAAATCAGAAAAAGAGCACATCCCAAGAATCAAGTTTTAAAGCTGAAATACTTTTTTCTTGTTATTTTTCTTGGCTTGGCAACTGATTTAGTGTTTACCCTTAGAGGTTTGGAAAGCAAAAGTTAAGATCTTGCTATAAAATTGACAACAGCATTGGTAGGGCTCTCACCACAAGGGGATTGTGATATGAGGCTCTGCACATTAGGAGGGACTTCACCAACTGAGATGGAAACTGTAATTACTACATTGGGACTCAAGATTGACTCATGTGCTCTTATTTTTAACAGCTGTTTTCATTTCCAACCTAAGAAAACAAAGAGATGGAAGAAAATCTGGTACTGTATTTGGATGAAGTGAATATGGCCAGATCCATGAGCCAGGGAATGAAGTTTTAAATTCTTCACGTCCTTACAAGAAGCATGAATCTACTTATTTCTTCCTCCACTGACCCCAGCCATGGGAGGAGGTGTTTGAGATCCTGTTTGTTGTCTTTTTCTAGCAAAAGATGGCATTCTTGCTGTTGGTTGCATTTCCAACAATCTTTGCAAAAAGTAACTGTAGAAATGGAATTTGGAGATGATGATTTGGACATCAGAGAGAAGGAGGGAATAGAAGGATGGCTGGTGGTGAAAGTAAGATAGCTTAATATAGGCAGGGAATCAAAGTACTAAAATGGACCACAAAAGAAATTACAGTCATTGAACAATGAAGCCTCAGAGAATGACGGCATGGATCTGAATTCTGAATTCGACCATCTAGACAAACTTAAACTAGATTTTAACTACTCCCTTTGAGAGAGGGGAAAGGATCTAATTTATGGATTCATTGTTGTATTTTTAGCTTATAAACTGGTTAAATAAATTAACTTATATCAAACTTTTAGAACAAAGCTGCCATGAAGTAAGTTGCTTTATGTATATTTGTTCTTGTGATTTTAAGCAAAGCTCAACAGCGATTGCCAAATCATTAAGCAAATAAAGAACAAAGGTTTGTTTTATAAAAGATAGAACTATACTGCTGTGGTAATATGATCTTCCTTTCTTCTAAGTTGTTTGCAAAAGCATTGCAGAACTCAGTCAGAAGGCACAGGTGTTTGAGAGAAACCAGATTATCAGTTATTTGATCAGCTTTCTGCCCCAGATCTCATGGGAACAAATTCCAGGTTCAAACTCACCCAATCTCCTGCCAACAAGCAAATAGAGAGTTTAGTTCAATGGTCCCCAGAATCGACAATGGTTTTTGGTTTTTAAAGTCTTCTCCTGGCAAGCAAACTTAGAAAAGAAAAAATGGCAGATATCAGCCCAAACTCTACTTTTCTAGCATGCTGTTGTTATGATGATGCACAGAGGGACAGATGCTCCCAGTGGGGGCAACTTAAACATCATGAAATTCATCTCCCTCATTTTATGGATGAAGAAACCAGAGCAAGAAATGGTTAATTTCTTAGTGGAAGTTCACACAGCTGGTCAGTATCAGAGCCAAGAGTTGAAAAAGTGGCTCTGGCGTGTCTCAGCGGCCTTGGCCTTCATGCTTAGTTAAATCATAGACTATGAGAGTTGGAAGTGATCTTAAAGGTCGCCTACTCCAAGCTCTCGTTCAATGTTGGGATCCTTCACAATCCCAGGCAGACACTCTTTTGGCCGTGGCTTGATTATTTCCAGTGACAGGAAGCTCACAATTTAATGAAATAGTTCTTTCCGTCACTGAACTGCTCTAAATTTTCCTTCTTTTGAGCCAAAATCTGTTTCCATAGACTCTCTCTCTCATTAATCTCATTTCTCCCTTTCAGAGCAAAATAGACAAGTTCACTCCTCTTCTATATGGTAACTCTAAAAAGCAGTAATCAGCTGAATATCCTTATTTTCCTTCAACCGTTCTTTAAACAACGTATCTTTTGGGACTTCTAAATTTGGCCTTTCCTTTTCCTTTCTTTTCTTAATGGTCCATTCTAATTTATCAATATCTTTCTTACACTTGGCCCCAACAACTAGATACAATAGATTGGGTATTGTCTGATGAGTAAAAATTATATAAAGTAGAAAGATAATTTCCTTTTTCTGATTTATTACCTCTTTTCCAAAAATACAACCACATCATACTGTTGACTCCCCTCTTTTTTTTAATGAGGGGGGTCTCACTCTGTCACCCAGGCTGAAGCCTACTGGCAGGATCACAGTCTCAAATTCCTGGGTTCAAGACATTCTCCTGTCTCGGCCTCCTAAGTAGCTGGGACTACAGGCATACACCATCACACCAGGCTAAATTTTTTTTTTTTTTTTGTAGAGACAAGATCTTGCTATGTTGCCTCAGCTGGTCTTGAACTCCTAGGCTCAAGAAGTCCTCCTGCCTCAGCCTGCCAAAGTGCTGGAATTACGGGTGTGAGCCACCATGTCCAGCCTTGACGCCTGTCTTTCTTGCAGTCAAATAAAATCCTTATACTTTTTCATATAAAAATCCTGCCAATGTAAGCCTCTCCTAACCTGTTCTGCTTCTGACTTTGAAAGACAGATTTTAACATTATCCCTATGCATTTCAACCCACTGTGAGCAGCCTAGTGTCCCAAAGTCTGCCAATATCATTTAAAAATTGTAATTCTGTCCCCTAACTCTTTCACCTCATTATCATTTGAAAATCTGGTGAACTTGCCTGCTGGGTTTCTAGCCAAATCATCACGAATAAAAACATTCACCAGTGAATCAGGAGCAAAGAAAGAGCCCTGGGAAACTATAAGCATCTTGGGAGACACATCTTGGCCCTTTGTCCAACAATCACATCCTTGGGACCAAAAAATGTTAAGGAAGGCACTGCTGTCTTCAGTCTCCCCCTATGTCCTCATCCATGCAGCTGCATGGAAAACTTATATTTGGGAAATGTGATGAAGGATTTTGCAAGGAAAGGAAAATGTCTCTAGGCCTCTCGGGGACACTTATTCAGGGGGCAATCCACAGAGAAGTTGCTTTTGTTTTTTTTCCCAGTTATACAGATTTATAATATATCTGAGTCAACTGAAACACCAAAACTCTGAGGCCTGTGGATTCATTCTTGATTCTGACTCGGGCTGATGTGTCAGGACTCCCTGAATCAGGCTGGGTTTGGAAGCTGCCCTGTTATTTTATTTTATCAGTGAACTGTGCCAAGCCCTGTTAGCTGATCTGCCTGGTGATTATGAAAGTTATGTAACAGCATTACTCACTACACTGCTAAAACCTCATCTCATTGATGTACACTTCTAAACTGTCTTCAGTTTCAGGTTAGATGTCACCTTTCCTAGGAGCTGCAGTGAGT